TCCTCGCCCTGCTCTGGGGCGCGAAGGATGATGCCGATGACGATGCTGCTGCTGATGACGAGTGTTGGGGATGGTGGTGACGAGGATGACGATTCTGCTGATGATGAGAGTGTTCGGGATGATGACGAGGGTGGTGATAATGGCGGTGATGGTGCCGACGACGATGCGACGGCGACGAGGATGATGGGTGATGTGGTGACCGCATTCCGACGACGATAAAGTATGCGCCCCTTTATCCCCCCCTTCACCTCTTATATTTGATTATTCCTGGGCTGTAGATGGTTTCGAATTACCACAACAGGCGAGGTGGGCGAATTGTTTAATCACCCTCAAAGTTCACATCGTAGCTCTGATCTTCATATCATGCATAGCACCATGAGTAATCGTTATTCTTTTTTGTGTGAGGATGTCTCAAGCGAAACGCCAATTCTCGAAGATCCGCCGAATTCGCGACCATCAGCTTTTCGAGGATGTCTCGAGCAACATGCTTGTTTTTGTAAAACAGCACTGTCGCGAAAACAACTGCCTGCTCCTCTCTCCTCCTCTCTCCTCCTCCTCCTGCTCTTCCTGCTCCTGCTCCTCTCCTTCTATCTTCCTTCTTCTCCTTCTTTTCTTCTCCTTCTCGTCTCGCCTCTGTCTCCCGTTCCTTCTTCCTGCCTCCGTCCCTGGCCCGAACTTGCTTGATGTCAGACATTGTTATCTCCGAAGAACAGCGGCCATGAGTAGTCCTACGTGACGCGTTGAAAACAACCACGACTTGTTGAGGTTTACACCTCGGATTTGATAGGTCAGACTTTTTTCCTGGAAATGCTCCTCCTCCTTCTCCTCTCTCCTCCAGGGTGGCCCCACGAAAGGATCCATTGTACAATTTTTCCATTGCATTTCGCAGGACTTGTGCTCATCCGACATCTCCAAGGAGGCGCCTCGAGAGAGACCAATGTACCATGTCACCATCGTATGTCATAGGAGTTGTGCTGTTCCCACATCTCCAGGGAGACCCTCAAGAACAATAATGGAGGCTCCGTCGTGGAGGCTCTTCAAGACCGATCCAGACATCCTAGCATCGATGTCTCTGGAAAATTGTTGGGTCCCGACTTTACTCTTATCCCTTCGGGATTTGGATCATTCTCGCCTGCGTAGGGTTAAGAAGGTGCTGACGACGGTGACTGTACGACGACGGTGATGATGCGGACGATGATGAGGTTGTTGCTGATGCTGCCGTTGATGTTGATGCTGATGTTGGTCTTGGTGTTTATGTTTATGCTGATGTTGACGGTGATGCTGGTGATGATGATGGTGGATGATTATGATGGTGATGCTAACGGTGGTGGTAATGATAATAATGATGCTGAGGATGGCGATGATGATGCTGTTGCTGATGTCCATGATGTTCATGACGATAGTGATGATGGTGACGATGATGGTGGTGATGATGATGGTGATGATAATTATGATAACGACGATGGTGAGGGTGATGATGACGATGATGGTGAGGACGGGTGATGATGACGATGCTGCTGCTGTTGATGATAATGTTCATCACGAATTTACTTATGATCATAGCGATGGGGATGCGGTCGTTGACGATGATGGCGCTGCTTCTGGTTGCGATACTGATGACGCTTGTTATGCTGCTGCTGATGATGACGCCGATAATGATGGTGATACTGATAATAACGACGATTCTGATGTTGCTGATGGTGTTGATTCTGATCAGAATGATGCTGCTGACGATGTTGATGATTACTATGCTTATGCCGACTGTGTTGCGGATGGTCGTGATAATGGTATTGACGATGTTCACTATGATTATTGTGAAGATGACGGTGCTGACGATGGTGGTGATGATGCTGCTGCTGTTGTTGATGGTGATTCTGATGCTGAGGACGACGACGGCTACGACGACAATGATACTGTTACGATGATGATGATGAGGATGCTGATTATGGTGATGGTGATGAAGATGATGTTGGCGCTGCTCATGTTGTTGTTGTTGATGGTGGTGATGATGATGATGCCGATTCTGATTGTGAGTATGATTATGTGATGCTGCTGCTGATGATGATCATGATGCTACTGATGATGATGATGATGCTGTTGATTACAATGATGGTACTTGCGATGGTAAAGGTGATACTATTGACGGTGACGATTAATCAGGGCACCAGCCTTAGCGCATCTAGGCGGCAACCATAATTCGAAACACATGGGGCATCAAAGCGCACCAGCCTGAGTGCACTATGGCGGCAGCAGCACATGCCTCCATTCCTTCCGAACTCAGTAAGAACTCCTGAGCGCAAACACTGCTTGTTTGGGAGATGCTCTTTCGTGCGTAAGCTCAAGGTGGCTCGGTTCGGGAACTGGGTGCATCGGCTCACCCCCATGGCCCCCTTTGAGCCCGTTCGGCGTCCGAGTCCGTTGGGCCTCCGAACAGACGCCGAACGGCCTCAGACACGAGCCCTGGGGACTCTTGTCTCCCACCCCTCAGCTCACGTTGGCCTGGCGCACTGAAATATGCTCACGTAGTCTTGGCGTCAGCAGCGGAAGTCGATCGGCGAGTGGTCTCTCGCTTTTTCGGGCCACTACGGCGGCTTCCGATGGCAGCGGGGGCATCTCACCGCCCGCTCCGAGGGCAGCTTCGCAAGAGCGGCCATCTTTCGGGAAAGGGTCGAGGATCACGCAGTCTCCCCTCCCTTCTCTTGTGGGTGGAGTCGTCTTGTGGGGTCTGCGAAGAGCGGGCAGCGCGGCACAGGGCGGGGGTTGGGATCGATTGGGTGCCGTCGGGCATTTCTCCCCCCCGCTCCTTACTCGCAAGGTTTTTTAGATCCGATCGGGCCGGTTCGATACCGATTCAGGCTGGCTCGATCCGATTCTATTCGGATGTTCGGACGGCACTTTACGGCCCGACGCCAGCATGGAGCTCTTGTGCATCCTGAGCGGCTGATTCGAGTCGATCTCGATGTCGCGCCGATGCTGACCTATTCGACGCACGCTCCGATCTGATAGATATACACATATTCATACATACATGCATATGTATGTATGTATGTCTGTCTGTCTGTCTGTCTGTCTGTCTGTTTGTGTGTTTGTCTGTTTGTCTGTTTGTCTGTTTGTCTGTTTGTCTGTTTGTCAGTCTGTCTGTCTGTCTGTCTGTCTGTCTGTCTGTCTGTCTGTCTGTCTGTCTGTCTGTATGTATGTATGTATGTATGTATGTATGTATGTATGTATGTATATGTATATGTATATGTATATATATATATATACATATATATATATATGTATATATATCCGTAAGGGCTTCGCCCCGTGACGCCGGCCCCCTGTATCGGATAATGGGAAATGCAAAAGCTAAATCATGAGGTCTGGGCGCCGCCGTGAAGCAATGTCAGGACCTGTTTGTTTTTCGACCCTGACCCACGGATCTGCGTCACGGGTGCCACCGAATTTCAGAAATGTGGCAAATCTATTGTGTTTTTGGACCCTGACCCTACGGATCTGCCTGAGGGTGCCGCCGAATTTCAGAAATGTGGCGAATCCCGTATGTTTTTGGACCCTGACCCTGCCGATCTGCGTGAGGGGTGCCGCCGAATTTCAGAAATGTGGCAAATCCCCTGTGTTGTTGGACCCTGACCCCGCCGATCTGCGTGAGGGGTGCCACCAAATTTTACAAATGTGGCAAATCCCATGTGTTTTTGGACCCTGGCCCCGCCGATCTGCGTGAGGGGTGTAAATTTTTATCCGCCAGCAATTCAGAGCACACGCTCAGGGCGTGGTGCAAATGCCCGTTTTGGGTCTCCCCCAGGACAGTAAGCAGCAAGAAGTAGAAATGTAAAAGTGGAAACTGGAAGCTGCAACTGGTACAAGAAACTGCGAACCTTCGCCCTACAGCCCGGTGGCCCCACAGGGGGGCCGGCGGATATGCACACATCGATCTACGGTGCTGACTGATCCTGCCCTCCTCGCTTTGGTGGCGCGCGCGCAGAAGGGGGTGGCGCGATCGGGGGCGGCCTTGGCTTCCCGGAAGCCCTCCCAGCTTCCCAGAATCCTTTGGGCGGCCCTTTTGAGAAGGCTTCCACCTTCTGAGAAGCTGCCCCTCCCTCTTCGCAGGCCCCCCCCCCGCCCCCTTGCCACTCCTGTTTGCCTAGGAGCCATCCCGCCCAACAGGTATCGGGCGACAAGATGAGCTTTGCACATGCGCCGATCCCGGCCAGGATGATTGTACATGCTTCAGGAGGGCGCATGCACCGATTTTGGGCCCAGCATGGGCCTGGCCGGGATCGGTGTGTGTGTGTGTGTTCTCCACCTCAGGTCACTGCTGGCTGTTTCCCACCCTCGCTGCCCAGGCCCGGGTATGCGCATGGCATGGTTGATCCCTTCGGGATCCGCGCCCCATCTTTTGAAGGGTTGGGCGCGCGCGCTGTAGTTCGCTCAGGCTTGCTTTCTCCGCCTCGTCGCTGCGCGCGAAGCCGCGACCGCCAACATGTGTGTGTGTGTGTGTGCCCGTAGCCCCCCTTGGCTCAAGGCCGTCTCGAGCACGCCCCTGGCTCATGTGCGGCGGGCGCTCCGGCCCCGTTGTGATGGAGACCGAGGCGGCGTGGCGACGGCGGCAGCGGGCGGCCGCCTCCGCCCGCGCTGCCGACACTGCCGGCGGCGCGGACGCCGCGGGCTCCCCGGGCGCCCCAGGCCCCGTGGGCACAGCCCGCGGGTGCCGCCAGGGCTGCGGGTGCCGCGTGCGCCGCTGGTGCTGCTGGCGCTACTGGCGATACCGGCGCCGCGGGCGCCGCGGGCGCCGCGTGCTCTGCCGGCTCCGCGCGCGCTGCTGGTTTTGCGGGCGCCGCGGGCGCTGCGGGCGCCGCGTGCGCTGCCGGCGCTGCGGGTGCCGCGGGCGCCGCAGCGGGCGCCGCTGGCGCCGCGGGCCGCCCATGCCTCGTTGG